AATTTCATTCATTACATTCTTATTCTCATTAAAAATGATGAAATTCAAGGTATTCTGAAAAGATAGTTGATTTTAATAAGCGGAAAAATGAAATTTTTTATTTGACAAAATAATGAGAACGAGATGTTAAAATATTTGTACGTGAAAGTAAAATTGGGACAACTAACTCAAGAACAAGTCAAGTTCCCATTGACGTGTAATTACTATGAATTTTCTCGAAAGAAGCAGCAGCGTTAAGAAGAAGGTAGTAATTATTTGCTGAATAGTTTTTCTTGATTGCTTTACTCCTTTTGTGTGGTATAGTTCTTTGTCTGGTGTGTGCAGTGAAAACCAAGGCAGATTAGAGCATCAAATGCATTTATTTATAGAATTGCGGAGCCCGAGTGCGCGTTTCGCACATGGCAGAACGCTCGTTTCTCGCTCACTATACACGCACGATGCGCTCACTGATTGCATGTGTAGTATGCATGTAAGCAACTTGTCTCTGGCTAAGTTTTGTTTATGTGTATTCGAGAGGGAAAAAATACGTAGGCATGGCATGGCATGCATTGCGAAACGGAAGACGTGTACATGCCAGATAAGCGATATGGACAAAAAAATCATCCCAGAGAGAGAGAGAAAGGACAAAATATCGCCTCTGGACACAACACCAAAAATGTTCTGTACCGTCTAGTTTAATTTTGATGATAACATTTATTAAGATTCAAAATTAATTTATTTCACAAACCTCAGATGGTGTCTGAGTTATAGGTCTTATCGGGGGACATATAATTAGTAATCTTTGAATCTAATTTTTGACTCTAGTCAACTCTATGAATAGTGCCACTTCCCCTTAGTTTTACTCGAACGTCATCCCCATTTTCGGGATCACAGTCACGAGAAAAATCTTATCTATCTGCGGCACCATTCATAGAGTTGACAGTATTTTAAAAAATATTCTATCATTTTATACAGCTTTTTGAGATGCATCTTTTGACTTATTAGTAAGGGCTAACACCACTCTGAAGTCAGTAAAAGATCTATCTTTAATAATTTATATTTACAGGGTTGGTTTGTTAAACATTATTATTATTAACTATAATAATCGTCGTATTCATTCTTTCATTCTGTCCAGTCTGTCCACACCTGAAGTTAGTCATGATTATGCTTTTGTTTTTTGATACTTTTTGATAGAAAATATTAAACTACTTTCATTTTTTTAAATTTATTTACATTATTTTCATTTTTTAATTAATTTTAAAAAAATCTTTATTATTCTACAAAAATTATTAAATGCATTTGATTATTTTATTTTTTTGCGTTGAAGTTACAAAAAACAGAAATTCAGAAAATTAATAAAAACTTGGAATATTGTTAATAAATTGTCATTAAAAAGAGAAATCATTCAAAAAACTTTCAAAAAAACTTATTTGTTTTGCAAATCAAAATTGAGCAGCTCTCTTTTCTTATCTTTAAAAAAAATTAGAAAATTGATAAAAAATTAAGATTAGGGCATAGAATATATTTTCTATATTTTCTGTTTCTTAATCGCAGTTTGGTATATTCACAAAATTAGGAGTTTCCTATGGAAAAATAAGACAATTTTTGCAAAATGCCCATTTCTAATCACAATTTTTTAATAAAATCTTTTTTTCTTTGAAAAATGGAAATAATAATTTTCATCATTTCAGAGAATTTTCAGTTTCTTTTTGAAAAGTTTATACTTTTTAATTACAATTTTAACGAAATATATTAATTTTTTTTAAATAAATGAAAAATTTTTTAATGTCTATTTTATAATCACCTTTGTTGTACAAAATTTTCTGTTTTTTTAAATATTACAAATATTTTTTACATGTGCACCTTTTTTTTATTAAGTTTTCGTACTTATAAGTCAAAAAAATTTACATAATTCCAATTGAAAAAAAAAATTTTCACGATTTAAAAAAAATGTGAAAAAAACTATTTGAAATTTTACTACAAAGATAGGTCTTTAGTTAAGTCTTGAGAGTTTTTTTAACTCACAACTTTTTTTAACTTATTAAAAATCAAAAATCTTCCAAGCACAAACAATAGTTTTAAAAAATGACTTAAAATATTTGACCATTTAAACTGAAAACTGACTGATTTTCTAAATCAGTCTTTCAAATGAAAACTTGACTGAATCAGACTTGGAAAATTTTTACAAAATTGTATTTAAAACCTTTTTAGAAATCCGTCTTTCCTGCATAAAAATCTGAAAATCAGAATATTAAGCGAAAAGAGAAAAATATTGAGTATCACCAAAGATATAAACCAAAAACCGATCAATGAATTTGAATTAGATTTAAAAAGAGCTTTAAAAATGTCCGATTGAATTGTTTAATTTATTTGAAATTTATTATCTATGGATGTTTTGGTGTTCTGCTTATGTGCATTGAAAAAGTAACAAGTAAAGTATCATCCTAAATTTTAAGCATGCATATATATTGCAGGCATCACAGTTGGTCCCCTTTACTCCTTTTATCCCCTTGGTGATTTGTCCCCTTTTACTGATCAGAAATAAAAATTTTTTATTTTTTTTAAAAATATATTTCAATGTATAATCATAAAATTTAGATTCAATTTTTGAATTTAGCATGTTATTTTTTAATTCAGACTATTGACACCACGACGCAATATAAATTTTTTTTTACTGTTTGCGACTTAAATAATACACTCGGATCGCAAAGTTTCAGTACATTTGAACTATTTGCTTTTAAATGCTTGCTTCACTTCAAATTCAAAGATTTATATAAAAATTGATTTAAAAGCTATTAAACTAGGATCATTTTGAGGTTTATTAAATTCAGAATCAAATGGGCCCAAAATATAACCAATTTAATAATGTAAATATGAAAATATAGTTAATTATTGATAAAATCAATGAATAGATACGACGAACTTGCAATTTATATTGTATAAATTAGAGATGAAATACTATCAATCTATCCAAGTCAGGTTAAAATAAAAACACTCCGTTTTAACGTTTCGACGATACAATCGTCCTCTTCAGAAACGAAAAAAAAGTTGATATAAAATTTTGTTCAATCAAATGAACGTGTACATTGCCGGACGAAGACTGCAATTTATATTGTTTAAAAAAAATCGCTATTTTCACAAAAAAATCTCTATCTTTAAAGAACTATATTTTCATATTTACATTATTAAATTGGTTATATCTTGGCCCATTCGATCTAAATGTATTAAATTTCAAAAAAATCCTAGTTTGATTTTATTATATTAAAATTGAATCATTTTTTTAAAAAAAACTCTGTAGAAGCGATATGATAAAAAATTAAAATGATATGTGCAAATTGTATAAACAAATAAATTTTTGTAGGTTTTAAATATTTTTTCTTGAAAATTAATGTTTGTTTTTCCGAAAATTTTATTAATAATAAAATTTTAAGTTTTTAAATGTTATAAATGATTATTTTTTTTAAAGACTGCATTTCTTTGGATGAACTTTCTTAAATGGCTATAACATTCCGATATAATAGAAATGTTTATAAAAAAGATATATCGAAAACACTTAAATATAATTATTGTATTTTTCTATTGTTTAGGTGATGTAAATATTTAAAAATTTTCTTTATATTAAAGTTATTTTCTATCAAAATAATGTCGACCATGTGCTTGTGACCATTTCTTATTGGAAACAAATTCAGTAAACACGCCGCAAATGTAGGGTCGAAGATAATCCTTCCACTCTACCTCCTGATGTGTGACGTCAGTTTGTGCACATTGTGTTTGAGGTGTTCTTAAAATTGCTGATCCTAATCAGCGATAAGAAAGGCAGTCCGCTTTAAGATAGATAATAATGGCCGTTCAGCCTTCTTGTCGTCATATAACGTGTTTAGACTTGTCGAAATAGGCTTTGACGAGTCCCATCACGTCTTCAGAGATCGGAAAGTTACGTTTACAATATTGAGAGCAAGGTGAGCTTGCCGGATTGTCTAAAATGTTGAGAACTCTTTTATTGTGTTTACTTGAATTTAAACTGATTTAAACAAATACAATATGAAGTTATCAAATTTTCCATTTAAATGGAAACTCTTTGTAAATAATTAATAACTTTAAACTACTTAATAATAACATTCATGGTTCTTATATTAAATTAGGAAAACGACATAATTTTTTACGTTTAACAATATTTATTCAGGCGTAAGAAAATGCTTATTTGAAGAGCGTAGAAATAAATTAGTTGTTGCCAAAAATATTTTCTTAAAAAACTGTTAGTTCTGAATACAACCGCAAAAGAGAAAGTACAGACAAGTCGAGCTGAAAGACAGTCATGAAACTTTTATTGTTTTTGGGGGCTGAGCCGGCGCGGCGCGACGCGGCTGTGAGTGGGCGGACTTCCCGATTAAATTGGTATTCGAGTGGTACTCACAACAGTAATTTTAGCGATGACACTTGTCGTGCACAATACCGGCCGGCTGACGTCGACCTGATGTTATTTACTTTACCTGGCACGAATATACATATCATATCTCAAATATATATATATACCTTTAGTGAGCTTGCTTTTCCTTTCAAGTGTTGGATTAGAAAAGTAATTTTTTAATCCTCTTTTTTTCTCCTCTTCTACGTGGAATTTAAATAGAGAAAGTAGATTTATACTATTCGTCTTTACTTTTTGAAAAGATTTAGTTTCAGCAGGTAATTAACAAAGGGGAGACCGAAAGGTTATGTAATAACCTTCATATTATTGCACGTCTTTTTTTCAAAAGTAAATTCCTAGTCAAATATTTAGTTTCCGTAATTAATTGAACGAACTCGATAAATTGTCTAATGCTTTCGAATATTTGTGGTAATTTTAGCGATGATATAGAGCTAAACGTGTAGGTAAGCTTATAACGTTTCGTTTGACACGAGCGATAAGTTATCGGACGTAGGATCATATTTATTTTTATCTCTATACATTGAAGACAATGTGAAACTTGTTCCCGCTTGTCACAGAAAAGTAGAAAAGAAATGATTTTTCCGTTTGCTTACAGCTCGTGTCTTTGGACGGCTTGCACAGTGGCGTACCTACTAGAACGACGCCCACACTTACTCCAACGACCCTTCGGAGTATTGAGCAGACATTTCTGGAGCTGACGAGCGAGTCTGCCTCGCACAGCAGAGAAGCTGGATTCGTGCCACCGCTGGTGGAGCCGTCGCAGCCGACTCCCGCCCAAACTCACAACGGCGTCTTGAGCCACAATAACCTCGAGAGTCACCAGACTCAGGCGCAGCCTCAGCAGCAGACCAGGCGAAACATGGGAGGCAGGAGGCCCACCAGGACCATCGGCATGTCGCCCGAGGAAGAGGAGAGGCGACAGGTTCGCAGAGAGAGAAACAAAATGGCAGCGGCCAGGTGCCGCAAGAGAAGGATGGACCACACCAACTCCTTACTCGAGGTGAGTTTCTACTTTCAAGTCTTCTCAATAATAGTTTTCGTATGTGCTAACGAGAAAAAACTCGTCTCTTTCAGGAAACTGAGGGCTTGGAACAGAAAAAGCAGAGCTTGCAGGACGAGATCAATCAGTTGAAGCAGGCGAAGGACGAACTGGAATTCATCCTCGAGACTCATCGGTCAGTCTGTCGGCTGAGGGCCTCTTCTCCCCTCGACGTCAAGCCAGTGATAAAGGCCGACATAGTTGAGAATCCGTTCATTCAGCCGGCGAAACGCGACCCCATTTGTGCCCTCAGACCAAACAGACCCAACTCCCTGCCTGTCGGATTCGACAACAACAATCGTCCCAACACCCTGCCCATTTTCGCCGAACCGAAGGAGCGACAGGACCATTCTCTGCAGTTCAAAACAGTGGAGACTCCCTCCTTCATGAAGACGACCTCGGAAGTTGCTGGCGTTCCCATCACCACACCCTCCAGTGGAATGCCCTTCAACTTCGACTCACTGATGGACGGCGGCACTGGACTGACGCCCGTTTCCACTCCACTAATTCCATCCTGCTCCACTCAGCAAAGAAGCAACCTCTCAGCGGTCGACCTCAGTTCACCGGACGCAAATCCACCGAAGCTCGTCAGCTTGTGACGCCAGGATTTGGAATACGGATCCCATGAGGAGGATCTGAAATAAACTCCTCATAGCAATGCAAACTTCATTTCACCGTCGCGTCGAGTTGCCATAATTCAGTCCTACCCAAGTTCATTTAGCAATTTTCATCTTAATCGCACAGATTTAGAAATATTTTTCCAACGTTTTTTTTCAATTCCAAACTTTACATGAGGTGGTACAATTTCAACTACTAGTTATTATCTATATAATACCCCAAAGTTTCCTTTCTGGCCCTTCATTAAATATTAGCTACTGATTCGGCCCCGAATCGAAGCTAAACTATTTTTTTATTATCTTAATAGGGTGCCTTAATAGTAATGAATAGTACAGTGGCCGATACTTTTGTCAGTCTTTCCAAATTGTGAAAATAGAAATATCCAAAATATTACAGAAATTGTTGAGGAAAAAATTAAATATTCAAATATTACAGCAACTTTAAGTTACTAAACGCTGCACAGCATTTTTAAAAATTTCTGTTTAAAGGTATGACGAAATATCTTGTTTTTAAAGTATTTGTTAACATCAGTCTGTAATGAAATGTTTCGGTCACTAAATTTTTTACCCTATTTATGAATATTGTGTTAAACACATTTTGTACAGCGAAAAAATAATCATTCACAATGGTTATATTTTTTCGAATTTACTTGAAATGAAATAAAGAGTAAACTTTCCAGATTTTGACAATTGAGGATAGTGAGATAATTGTATAGCAATTAGCACAAGTTAAATTGACAGTATCTTTTGTTGCAAAATTAATATTTAAATATTAATTAAATTATTATCTTTAGTTATTGATAACAATAAAAAATACTTCTTATTAATTATGTATACAAGTTATTTTTAGTCTATTAATTTTGTGAGAGAATTCTACTTTTTTGGTCAAGAGTGTATTGAAAAATTCATAAGATTAAATAATAAAATTTGGCACATATGTTGGAGTGATATTTTTCGTTGAATACAAATTGATACAAATTTTTACATTCACAAAATGCTTATTGCAAAACAAATGAAATTAAATTTTAATAAATAAGACTTAATTTTGCATAATAAAATTAGAAAATTACCAAAAATAGTCCTATTTTCCATTGAATATGATAGCCTTATTTTTTTTCATTTCTAAATCTGAATATGATATTGAAATTAAAAAAAAATTTTTGACTGATCCAATATTAAAAAAAAACATATTTTTTTGAAATTTGGATATTTCTCCATTTTTTAAGTATTTAAATCGATATACATTAAGACTTAAAAGTGTTAAATTTAATAGAAATTCTTTATTTTTTCACAAATTTTTTGAAAAATAAATTTTATGAAAATACACCAACTTTTGTAATTATTATTCGACTTTTTGAATTTTGATGTCCGAATCTGATTCGAGGAGTCAAAAATTAAAAGGTTAAACATTTCAAGATAAATTAAAAAAAAAGATTTACTCAGATTTTCTACGCGTTGTAATTTTATTCGTCATATGTATTCTTGTGCATTTTTTCTCTTTTTTGTGCTGTTGAAGTGATTATACAAAGTAAAGGGGGTTAAATAAAGTAAATTATTTCCCAAGCTATTTTATTAAAATAATGAAATATTAGCAAACAAGATAATAGGCAATTAAAATTATTCAAAAAAGATTTTTATATAATTGTACTCCTCATGCATGGCATATATAGAATATATATAAATATATAGATATATAATTTTATAAAAATGGCAGAACAATTGTAAGTTTTCAAGAAAGAATGTTTTAATGAATTTTGTCAATCAGTGTCAAGATATTTCTATGCATATTTCGATGTACATTCTCAAATAGCAATAGTTTTATACTCTGAAGATAAGGTAAAAGTAAATATATACCTATTAAATTTCCGTATAGAAATTAATATTTTAAGGAGAAATAATACAGAGAGAAGAAAAAAAATTTGTATTTTTAAATTTTCGAATTACTTTTTGAACGGTAATTGAAATAAATTGCAGACTTACCTTTCTCCGATTGTTATTGTCCAACTTTTCTCCAAGGAGAATTGTAATATTGTCATAATCTTAAACTACTTAATAATATTTATCGAAATTAAAAACTTTGACAGCCTGTTGTAGTTGGGTTGTAGCTTCTTTAAAATTGGACGTAAATTAAAATTTATTTACGTTGCAATTGAATTGTGGATTTTGAATTTATACGCGAGTTTGAGGTTATGTTGATAAACTTTTTTAATTTATTGTGAATTATTTGAGGCATGTGCCTAAATTAGTAAATTTGCCTATTTAGCTGAAAATCGTATGGAGTTAATGATTTGTAACTGTAGTATTTGTATTTGTATTTGAAATTAAGAGTAAGAGTAAGAGTTAAGCTGGGTACATAATGATATTTCTACAGTGAAATGATTGAGCTGTAGGGAAGAAGCGAAGCAAGGTTCGCTTAATCAATCAACAATAATGTGAGAGGTGGTCGACACCATTTAGTCCCATTTACAGAGAACTCGTTGTCTGTATGCAAGTGATAAAGTGTATTTAATTCTCCTTTGATTACATGGAAGCTAGTTATGTTAAGTAAGAAGCCAATTTTTATATTATTAATTATACACGAAACAAGTTAGACGTTAAGGAGACAATTTAGCTCAAGAAGAAAGTTTTCACTACTTTGTAGATTTAAGAGATTTGAAAGAAGTCCTGATTTTAAAAATTGACGACTTTAGGACAATAAGAGCCGGATCAATTAGAAGCGGGATTGAACTTCTTCTTTTCTTTCTGCTAAGAGATGTTCACCGCCGCTCAAGCCTCGATCACAAATATATAATATTATGTAACTCTTCAATCCCTCCATACATAGAAATGTAATATATTTTGTAATGATTTCATCTTGGAGCAATATTAATATATTTATAAACGAGAAGAAGGTGCTGACGATGAAATTAAATTATCTCGAATAGAAAATGCTAGCGATCTCTTTTCAATTTAACATTTTTTAAGTCTGCATCTTCTTGGTCGCGACATGATTACTCGGCAATTTTATATTAAGAATTGTAATACTGAATTATTCAACATTTATATTGTTTAGTTCAAAATAACAATAAATGGCCTTCAAATTACATATTCCTATTTTGTTTTTATTTCCTTTAAAAATCATCTGGAAAACTGAGTTTTTAGCACCTCTTTCACTTTAAAATTACATTTTTCGAGAAATTTTTATTTCGTGATTTTGATAACATCAGAGTATTCCAATTAGATAGAATGGCCATATATAAATATTGGCATTTATGTCATAAATTTATAATTTTTCGTAGGCGTTGAACCAATAAATTGTTTAAATTCTTTGAATTAAGAACCCTCATGTGAAATCAGGTCGAGAAGGAACTTTGCCTAAATGAATAGCAATCAATAATAATAAAAAGAAATTAAAAAAAAAAATTTTTTTTTTTAATTTTTTAAAATTTTTTTTTAAATTTTAAAGAAATTTCATTTATCATTTTATGTGCCAAGAAGAATTAAAAACATTATAATCTATAAAAAAAGACGCTAGCGCTCATAATTTCAAATCTGAATTCAATTTGAGAATAATGATTAATGTAGTGTATAACACGACCTTCATTTAGGGCTAATTTTAAATTGAAAAAGACAAATTTTCCTTAACAATAAATAAAAATTTATGCCTATTTACATATTATTATATTACAAGATAATTTTATTCAAAATCCTGTGATTCTCTTTACTGCATTTTGCTCTTCGTTATCGTCCATTGATTGATAATGACTAAACTCCATTGTAAATGTGCCCTTTCCTGATGATAATATTCTTAAGGTTGTGGAATATCCAAGCAATTCAGACAATGGAACAGCAGCATATAAAACCTACAGAAATTTTTATTTATTAGGATTTAATTCATTTTTTATACTGAAATCTCAGTTCAAGCAAGAAATTTTTGTTAAATGTTACGGGTTCCAAATTCTAAATTTTTATCATTACTTATATTCTTGAATTTCGTTAAAATTGAGGAGCGCAAAATGAGTTTTCAATAAATTAAAGGTATTTTAACAGCCAAAAAGAGGTATAGAGAACTTATCAGTTTTTATCTCTTATCTTTGAAACAAAAAGAAATAAACAAATATTTCATATCTTGCAATCCCCAATCTATATAAATGTATATATCTGTCTTCCTTTCAATAATTAATTAAAATTTCAGGTTCAGGTCTATCTATTCATAATTAGTTGTAGATTTTTAAACGTAAGTAACATAATAAATCTTAATTGTCCGAGACAGAAATAACTATTTTTGCAGCAAAAAATTTATATTGAGTGTATATTATTGTTTGTCAGAAATACCATTTGAGCGATTTCCTATATTACAGAAATTCCACTTAACTAGAATTTAATTGACCAGTATTTCTATTTAATAAAATTGGTATTTGTCAGAATAATTCGAACCGAACTGTTCGAATTTTTTCGCTTAGTTCGAATGTAGAAAATTCGACATTCGAGTTACGACAAAATTCGAACCAAACCGAGTTTTGTTCGGTTTTGGAACGCTAAAATTCGACATTTCAATCGCCTAGTTCGAAAATTCGACATTCGAGTTAGTCCAGTTCGAATGTCGAAAAACCGACATCCGACATTCGAACTAGGAGATTCAAATGTCGAATTTTCGACATTCGACATTTCGGCGCTCCAAAACCGAACAAAACTCGGTTCGAATCGAATTTTGCACAGCTCTATTTAAATTATAATTGATCAAAAGTTTTTACATGACATTGTGTATGTTAAGAAGTCTTTAAAAAAAGAATTTCAAATTTGAAAAAATATAAGTACGAAAACTACTGTAATCACAAACATACATGTGACATAGGGACCAATTCTGACACAACGAAGATATAAAGATAATAGAAATAGAATTAGTAGAAAACGTTAAGAAATTGATCCTATTCTCAGTAATCCCTCGATTTCACGGTACCATAGATATCTCACGGTTTGAAGTCGTTGACTTCTTCAGAATTTGATTGTCTCAATACTCAAAAGAAATAGTGTGTCCAAGTTTATTGAACTTGGATCACGTCATCAACAAAATTGCAACTTAAACAAAAAGCACCGGTCGATGGCCGGGAGTTGCAAAAGAAAATGACGATTTCCCCACTCGATTCTTCGGTGTACGAAATTAGTCGAATGGAGGAAATCGGGGAGTTGGCTTTGGACTTCCCTGAAGGAAAGTCATTAGGAGTGTGCTATCAGAATTTTGAGACCTGAATAAATAGGTCGTTTGGTCAAGTGTTTAAGTATTTTTATAATACTAACAAAAAATAAATAACAAGAGTAAAGTAAAATCAAAAATAAAAGTCAATTTATACAAGTGAGAAATAATAAAGATAACGCGAAGTCAGGAAATTACGGAGTCATTAGTTCCGGAGTAAAACTAAACGGAAGGAAAGTGTTGAATTTAAAAAGGAATACAAAGGAGAATTAGTACTAATCCAATAAAAAAGTACCTGGAGATATCCTAAGTCACTCCTATGTCACATTACACTATTCAAACTACATTAAAAGAAACATAGTTTAAAAAGAAAGAAACAATATATATTATATAGAAAAACATTATTTTTAGGGATATAATTTTAGTAAGGGAAAAACGAATTTGTATTAAATCTAAGATTTAATATATTGGTTTATAAAGAAAATTGATGTCTTTATATAAATTTATCTCAACCTTCCTGTTTCCTAAATTGGGGTTGCGCTGCTTTGGAAGTAGAGACTCTCAACTCACTGACTGAATTAATAGTCAGTTGGGAGGAGAATCCACTATCAAAACTTTAAAGGTTGCAAAGTAATTTGCGTAACAATTACCTTTAATTTTATAATGATAATTAATTAAATTATTTATTCTTAATTTAATTTATTACAAAAAGCTTGCCATTTTCTTAATTTTTTATGTTTTTGAGTATTTCGAGGTCTAGGACCTGTACACGGAAAAAATAAGTTCAGCAGATTTTACGAAACTAATTTCGCACTAGCGGATATTTAAGATTCCTAGACGAAGTTTTTCAAAAACCCAGAAACTTTCACTACTTTAAGCAGAACAATTGTCGAGAAACTGCAACCAGTGTTGTAATTTATAAAACAAGCTTGAATGTAGAAATGTTTCGTATTTTCTGGTGAACATTTTATCAGAAAATGGTAAAAATGTTTCGTGCAATCTAAAAACGCGTGGTTTGAGTTTCCACTTCGCTGTCTATCGTGAATTCTCGAACACAAAGTTTCGTAAAATTCTATACGGGGTGTACCAAAAGTCGCGTTATAAATAGATATGTTGAAGCTTGTCTCGTCGCGTCGGTATTTGTCTGCTGTATATAGAGATAATATGTGGAAGGAAAAAGAGAACTGCTTTACCTGCCGGTAACATTTGGATAATTGTTTTCTTTTACATATTTCACATTTCATTGTTCCAAATTCGTAACATTTTTTATGTGCTTTTGTAATCCAAACTTTTAATTATTATTAATTTCTTTTAATTTACATTCCAATAAATTTTATAGTTTATCATAATATTTACCGATGACAATATATATATATATATATATTAATTTCTCAAGTTTTAACTGTTATTACTTCAAATTTTAGACAATTTAATATAAACATTTTTTGAGTTTGAATTTAATTTTGAAAATTTTTTGTCAATTTATTTATAATTTAAAATTAAGAATAAAATTATTTTCTAAAAATTGAAAAATTTTATAGAGATTTTATAACTAATTATAATCAAAAAATGAGCGGCCGGATCGTAGAAGGGCACGTAAATTTTTCTCGAGCGAAATCTAAGTCCCCTGAACACTCAAAATTCAACTTCTGAATTTAAATATTTTAAATACACATCCTTATAGAAAATTTCATTCCGCATCTTTTTTTCTTATGAAATTTTTTTTTATCTATTACCGTTTTCGAAATATTTTGGAAAAACTGTTTTTTTTAATACTGTAAATTTAATGACATTTTTCACTTCAACTCGCGATATTTCAGACAATTTTAAAAATTTTTCAATGAAACAAAAATGAAAATACGTCTTAAGGTATTCTACGAATGATAAAAAAAGAAAAAAGTGGTTTTCTTTATAAACAAAATTGTTATTAATTTTTTTCTTTATTAATGTAAAAATCACAAACTACAATCTTCACGGCTCTCGTTTAACGGGCGAATTTTTAGTAACAGAGAACTTTCAGTAAGAAAGTTGTTCATTATGATCCAAAAAAGTTTTCTGGAAAATAATAAGGTTAATAATTAATTAGTGTCGAAATGGTAAATGTTTAAAGTTGCTAGCGACCAAACGCATAGCACGCGTCACTCGCCATAGTTGCTTGGGAGTGTTGTTTCATAGGTTATGGCCAGTGGCGCGTGCTATGCGTTTGGTCGCTAGCAACTTTAAACATTTACCATTTCGACACTAATTAATTATTAACCTTATTATTTTCCAGAAAACTTTTTTGGATCATAATGAACAACTTTCTCACTGGAAGTTCTCTGTTACTCAAAATTCGCCCGTTAAACGAGAGCCGTGAAGATTGTAGTTCGTGATTTTTACATTAATAAAGAAAAAAAATAATAACAATTTTGTTTATAAAGAAAACCACTTTTTTCTTTTTTTATCATTCGTAGAATACCTTAAGACGTATTTTCATTTTTGCTTCATTGAAAAATTTTTAAAATTGTCTGAAATATCGCGAGTTGAAGTGAAAAATGTCATTAAATTTACAGTTTTCAAAAAAACAGTTTTTCCAAAATATTTCGAAAACGGTAATAGATAGAAAAAAATTTCATAAGAAAAAAAGATGCGGAATGAAATTTTCTATAAGGATGTGTATTTAAAATATTTAAATTCAGAAGTTGAATTTTGAGTGTTCAGGGGACTTAGATTTCGCTCGAGAAAAATTTACGTGCCCTTCTACGATCCGGCCGCTCAAATGTTATTTTAAAAACCATAAAATATTTTGTATAACTTTTAAAAAAATGATTTTTTTAAAAATTAATATTCAGTATATTGACATTTCTCACAAGCGCAGTTTTAATCTCCTCAGTTAGTATATAAAGAAACTCAATTCTTTCATCTACAAGTGCGAATTATATTGTATGTGCGTTGCGTCAGAATTCGTTTATATGTATGCGTAGTTCCGTTAAGTTAGTGTCAGAATAAAATAAGCTAATCCAAGCGAACCATTGCGTTGTAGAGGGCAGTCACATGTGTCGAACCAATCATCTATCTCCTATAGAAGACGAGAAAAAATGGTCTTGAGAGCTCATTGGTACATTAAGAAATTCTTTTTTCTGCTTTTATTCGTTTTTTTCTCCGTGAATATTTTTTTCCGTGGCGCATGCGCTTCAGGCTAAACATTTTACAAAACTCTTGAATTAGAACGTCCAACCGATCATTTGTGAATTCCATAGAATTTTTTTTGAGTTTTCGAGAAACGCAGTCATCATATATTACTATTGATTCTGTTTTATCTTATACTAAACTCCTCTCCGTATCCGCTATTCCAAAATTAGTTTCGTAAAATGTACTAAATTAATTTTTTCCGTGTATTAAGTCGCCTATTTTGAAATTATATTAGATTTTTTTATTTTAGATGATTCTGTGATGAGCCACAATGACAACCGTAATTGAAAGTAATTTTTACCAGTAGACAAAGCGCCTTCTGTAGAAGGAAGGTACCTATATTTTTGCAATCTGAAATTCTGTTTTTAAAACTTCTTAAAATACACAATGACATGTAAAAATTTTTGATCAATTATATTTTAAAATTTAAAAGAAAACATTTTTTTTAAGGCCAGGTTCCTCCAAACAATTTTCAAAAATTCGAAATTTTTTTTTGACGTAAATTGCTAGCAAATACTCTTAGAAATAATATAGAATTAGTCCCAAAGGTCCGCAGGGCCCAGAAGTAGGTAAACAAGAGGGGAGAGCGGAGCACCCTAAGCAGCAAATCCGGCCGCTCGAGCACGAACAAAAACTTTAAACGCGTTTTTCTCGAAACCACCTTTTTTCAACTGGGTGTCACTCTCATTTCAGAACCATTGAACTTATCAACATGACCCAAACGGCATTTTACTCTTCAAATGTCCCTCTATGGTGTGAACTAGAACTAAAAATATTCATTGTTATTTAAAAAAGTTATAAACAATTAAAGGTGAAAAAAACAGGGTAAAAAATTAAAAAGTCCGCCATTTTGTTTTTTTTTGATGAAAATGTTTCATTCTAGTTCGCACCATAGCCAATGTAATAAAAAATAAAAACCGTTTTGATTTTTGATTTCAGTTGATTCGTTCCTGAGAAATCGTGACACCCATCAACAAAAATGACTTCGTTCAACAGCCATTTCCGGAGCCGCCATTTTGAAAAAAAAAAAATTTTTTTTTTCTAATAGTCCTTTAATGTATCTTATTTTATAAAAAAAATTTAATTAGAAACTATTTTTTTTAATATAAATAAGAAAAGTTTTAAAAAACACGTTTTTTTGAGGAACCTGGCCTTAAATCTTCCTATTTTAGGTCTAAAAAAGTTACAAAACCCCTTAATTTAAATATATAATATGATATACTTGCTTAAATTGGATTTAATTTAGTGTAGATATTTTAAAATAATTATTATATCAGAAAGACCTTATTTTTTCCTCGGACATTAATGTGTTTTATTTCAGATCTTCTGCGACCCAAATCTCCTAAAATTGATGAGGATGATTCTTCAGCAGTAACAATTTCCAAGTGCATTATTGGTTCTAATAAAATGCAGCCAATGGAATTTATCATCTAAAAAATAGTTAATTTTATTAAAGCTTGTAGCGATGAAAAATTTAGAAATTATTTTGAAATTCATAAATTATACATATGAGCTCCTGGATCAAAAAACTCGATTTGCGTTAGGACAGGGAATTTTCATGTCAGTCAGGTCTCCATGAAAAAATAAAGAAAAATAAAATAAAAAACTTTTCAAACCCGTATCCTTGTAGATAATGAAAATGCGCAAGTCTTTTTTCTTAAAAGTATTTTTTGGAATCTAAATATTTTAGATAATTTAAGCCGCCCGAGCGGCAAATCGAGTTTTTTGATTCGAGAGCTCATATATTCTTTTAAAGATTTATTTAATTTATTTATCTCTGGGCTGCTCGACATCCCAAAATTTGGTCATAATTGTATAAACTATAATTTAAAAATTAAATATGATTATTAATTCCTCTTATGAGGATCAATTGAGGCTCCGGATCTTAAAAGGGCACATTTACCATTTAAAATCAATGCTGCAAGTGCCCTTTTAATATATAGCTATTTGTTAATTCAATTATTTCGTTATTATAAAGAAATGGATCCAATTTTCTAGTGAGAAAATAACCACCCTTCTGAAACACAACTATTTTTGTTTTATTTGAATTAACCGTCAGTTTATTCAATTGACAATATTCATTTAATACATTTAAGATTTTTTTCAAGTGTATTTTAGAATTAGTCACAAAAACAATATCGTCTGCATAAGCTAACAATATTATCTCAGTCAGGTGGTTAAGACTTATGCCCGTTATTCCAATAGTTTTATAGAGTTGAATTTTCTTTATGAGCTAAGGCTTTAAAAGTTGGAAAAAAGCAACTAGCACATTTTTACTCAAGAAAGAAGAATAGAAAATGTACCGAATTCATATTCAATCGACAAAAAGATATCCCTATAAGAGTTGGAAAACTCTCCACTTAGAGAAATCCGTTATTCTTGGATTGCATAATCCTCATGATTTACACCAGGGAAGGAATTAGCAGGATACACGCGCAGAGTAGTGGAGGACGAGAGAAATTTACATGTATTCTCTCAAATTAAATTTCGTTTTAATTTAATCTAATATGTAGGATAGACAATAGAGAAAAGAAAAATTTACCTTTCGAATAGCTTGAGCAATTGCGGCAGTCACCATTGTTTCGGATGTTCCTCTTCCAACTTCCAACCAATGTAACATTATTCCCACATCAATTAAAGGACAACCAACTTTAGGTCCACACATTAAAGCAGTATCAACACCTACATTAAGGGCACTTAATACTTTCGGATGTATTTTAGAGAGATTTGATGCGCTTTCTTTTTCATGATCAAATAAAAGAATATCTTTTCTCTTATGATTCGGTAACAAGGAAAGATCAAGGACTACTCTATGTTTACTCGTTCCAACTGTTTGATTTAGTTCAAACTTGTCTCTAAAAGTTTTGTCTATAGTCTCTTTGTAGGCAATTTGCAAAGTTCCTAAGGTGACATCTATTTTATAGTCTCTCCGAATTCTTTCCTTAATTATTTCTAAATGCAATTCTCCCATCCCTCCTAATACGATTTGACCAGTTTCCTCATTCTGTGACACCTGTAATCGTAGATATTTTTTATAGGTTTGTACTATAAGTGAAACCCCTGTTTTATAAAGGAGACTTAAATTCTTAATAAAGAATGAGTACAACTTACCTGTAAACTTGGATCTTCCTTTTGTATCTCAAGAAGAGCATTATCCAACGCTAGTTGATAAGATAAAGAAGGAGGTTCGATGGAGCAAAAGAAAACTGGATCTGGAATTCTTGCATTATTGGAAAAAATATTTTCGATCTGCTCAGCTTTGACGTGTGCTCGTTTCTCTAAGGCCACTTTTGCTCGATTAGCTGCACTAGCGCTGCATGATATTAAATCGCCAGTAACTGCCGATTTAAGTCCAGTCACGGCAACAATATTTCCTTGATCAATTTCTGGTATTTCCACGTAATCATCAGCATAAGCTGCACAAAGTCGACCGCCCTGTTCAGTTTTCTCTTTTCCGACATTATAAATTTTTTGATTCTTTTTCAGCTGTCCTGTGAATATTCTAAGGAAAGTTACTGGACCTCTTTGTTTATCATGAATAACTTTAAAAGCTTTTGCCGACAATGACTCCTGAAAATGTTATTATACATAAAATTTACAAATATTAAAAATGTACAAGTAGAAAGAAAACTTTACCCGAAAACAACTGTAGAGTTTCGTAAGTGGATTCATATCTGGAGAAGGCAAATATAAAACAATTGCATTCATTAGAGGTTGAACGCCAATATTTTTGTATGAACTTCCAAGTAAAACAGGCACTGCCTTTCTTTTTACAGTAACTCTTCGGAGAGATTCAACTAAATTTTGATCAGGAATTTCATCTAAAGAATTCTTTTCTATAACAATATTTGCTAATTCATCATCCAATCCTGAAATCCGATCTATTAATTCTTTTCGCTTGTCTTTCGCCAATTCAAATAGTAGTTCATCATCTTCACTGAGTTTTAACCTCTGTATTTTCATTGTCTGAAGGCTTTGATTGAAGATCAATTTCTCGAGGGTGACAATGTCTACGATACCAATTAAGGATTGGTCACTTTTTAAAGGTAGTTGAGTGACTAAAGGAATAGTCTCCAACTTTGTTTCAATAGATTTCACGCAATTTTCGAAATTAGCGTCTTTTCTATCCATTTTATTAACATAAATTATTCTTGGAATATTGTAACGATCTGCTTGTCGCCAAACGGTTAAAGTTTGAGCTTCAACTCCAGCTGAACCATCCAGAACAACTATCGCTCCATCAAGAACTCCCAGCATCTGTTCGACCTCATTGGTGAAGTCTATGTGACCAGGTGTGTCGATTAGATTGAATTTGTAACTTTTCCACAGAAACGTGACGGCCGCGGAAGTGATAGTTATTCCTCGTTCTCTTTCTTGATCCATATAATCAGTCACCGTATTACCATGGTGTACTTCACCCATAGTTGAGATGGTTCCCGAATAATATAACATTCGTTCTGTAGTTGTTGTTTTACCTTTAAACATTTTTATTTTTTAGTAGATAATGCTAATAAATTATCATTCACTCTTACCTACACAACAGCGGTCTGGAGTCAAGAGTTCCCAAATAAAAGTTCCAATGCCGAAAGTTTCAAAAGTATTATTTTTCCAAAGGACATTTTTTCCAAACTGTTCTTTTTCCAGAGTACATTTTTTCCAATGTACTTCTTTTTCCAAAATTTTTTTGTCCAAAGGACTCTTTTTCCAAAGCACTCTTGTTAAGAAAAGAAATAATAAGAATAGTAATAAATAAAATGTAAATGCTAAAACTATATCGGGTACATATTGTATATGAGTATATTATATATCTGTATAATTACACAGCCACACAAAAAAAAAAAAGTTCTGATCTGGGGGTCTCACTATGTAGACTTTATGTTTTTTGGGTCGCTGAATCCGAATCCGAGGTCCATTTAACCCCATCAGATCAGGATTTTGACATAACCTCAAAAAACCAATATGGCGGACACATTTTTGAAAAGTTCATTAGATTCGCTTCAAATTCGTTACTCGGGGGTTTTTGGGGTCGCTGATTACGAATCTGATGTCGGTTTTTCAAAATTCAAAATGGCGGATCCAATATGGCTGACACAGACATATTGGATCCGCCATTTTGAATTTTTGAAATCTGATTTCAAATTCGTAATCAGCGACCCCAAAAACCCCCGAGTAACGAATTTCAAGCGAATCCGATGAATTTTTCAAAAACGTGTCCGCCATATTGGATCCGCCATTTTGAATTTTTGAAATCAGACTTCAAATTCGTAATCAGCGACCCCAAAAACCCCCGAGTAACGAATTTGAAGCGAATCCAATGAACTTTTCAAAAATGTGTCCGCCATATTGGTTTTTTGAGGTTATGTCAAAATCCTGATCTGATGGGGTTAAATGGACCTCGGATTCGGATTCAGCGACCCAAAAAACATAAAGTCTACATAGTGAGACCCCCAGATCAGAACTTTTTTTTTTTTGTGTGGCTGTGTTATTGCTAATAGTATATTGAGTATAAATGTCAAAAAATCAGATAATGAGTAATTACTCAATATTACACATAATGGTGGGGTGTTTCTCGGCTCAGTTGTGTGACGAGCGATGGAAAACCAGTTCCTGACTATAAATAATAAAATAATATCTATAAATAATATTAGACCCGGATTCAATGCTAAGGCATGATAATAAGGGATAATGCTCTCGGTCAAGAAGTCATGAAACCACGGGAAAATCGAATTCGAATTCGGGAACAACGATTATAAACATTGTTTTCAATTACCAAAAATATGTTGACGAAGATAATATTCGGGGTTACTTAAAGGTTATCATATAAATTTCTAAATTATACTTGCTCATTTTGGATTTTCCAATATACTTTTTTTCCAATTGGAACATTTTTAACTTTGGAACTTTTGGGTTATGGAACTTCTGTATTTTGGATAAAATAAATTTTGGACTTTCCGATTTTGGAAATTTTATTTTGGAACTTTTGTACCCCAATCCTACACAACATCGAAACTTGTAGTAAAATTGAAATTACTTAAAGATTCCCAGTATTACGGAAACATTGCCAATATTGCTGCAAGTTTATGTGCTTGTAAGCAATTGATTTATTCAATAATTACACCACATTTGCAACATTATTATATGTACGTTCATTGGGGACTTCAAATTATTTGTTTCATCTTTGACTATATCATCCTCAGTAGAAATATTCAGTCTGATAATTTACCCAGTAAACGAAAACTAATTGAAATGAATTAAAAAGAATTCACAAAGAGCTTTCGTGAATCCCGCTTTGTGACAAATACGAATTGGAGCCATGATGCAATTTTCCTGAATTCGTGAAACTGTATTGAACTTCCGAACCTTCTATCCGTACCAATTCACTGGACAAGTTTTAAGCCTTTAATTTTTTTCAATTCGTTAGCACGAATTCAATGCATTCCTTGGCCATTTCTTTCGAATGCGAATTCGTTTGGACAAATTGGTACATATTGAATTAAATTCAATTGAATATACAAAGAGCTTGATTGAATCCCGCTTTGTGACAAATACGAATTGGAGCCTACCAAAAATGTTAATTCGTTTCAATTCATTTGAATTAGTTTTTTTTTACTGGGCAGTTCTCTACTTAGCTCAGTTAGTTAGAATGATAGGTTTATGCGCGTCGATCCCGGGTTCGAATCCCAGTCCCCCCAAATTTGTTTTCAAAATTTTCTGCTTCATGTCAGGTTTCCAAAATAGAGAAGAGCAACAAACTTAACATTTTAATTGAATATTTATTTATTAATTATTTTTTCAATATTTTCTATAACTGGTAAACTTATCACAACCTTACCTCAACCTTACAACTTAATAATTACCTTACCTCAGCCTTGACATGTAACCTTACCTCAACCTTAACATGTAACGTTACCTCAACCTTAACATGTAACCTTACCTCAACCTTAACATGTAACGTTACCTCAACCTTAACGTGTAAGGTTACCATGGCCTTATCATATATAGTCACCACACCCTAACATGTAACCTCACCTCCATGGCGGAAGTTTTTAGTTCACCTCAGGTCTACCACAGCAATATCGTGTAACCTTATGAGCCTTACGATTAGTACTCAACATAACCTTACCTCATACTATTGTGCTATGTGGGAAGGTACTTACAGGTATTTTATTGAATTTTTTGAGTATGCAAAACTTTAGGGGAGGGTGGTCCCATACCGACCCCTCGTACCATACCGACCCCCTTATGTTTCTTGAAGATGGTACCACTAAAAAAATCGTCAGTACCATCAGTCGAACACTTTCACAACACCAACAACTGCGGGCCACAGGTTTTATCAATGCGTTTGATTTCATTTTGAAGATTCAAGCAATATTAGATTTTAGCATTGTTTAAATTAATTTTTGACCTATACGGAATTCGAGCTAACAGTGTTTTTTGAATACAGGAAAATTTTTACGAAATTAATTTTGATTGTATATGACCTTAACTTCAACGTACAACATTCAAATTAAATTGATTCCACTGATATAAGTGTTTGGCAAAACATTTTGTGAAAATAGTGGGGGTGGTCCCAACCCGACCCCCATATTTTTACAATGTAATTGTTTATTCTCTTCTTCCTTATTGTTCACATGAAGTGAGGATAGGTTTTGCATATTTACTTTTATTTTTTAGGAATTTATAAAATATTTTACTAACAATCACAGCACTTATTACTTAACTTTAATTCTCTTTTGGTTAAATATTTTATTCATTGTCGGTTGTAAAATGTTCTTGACAAGGCGATATGAATTAAGAAAAGGTGTACTTTTCGACATCTTTAAAAGCAGTTAAGTACGAAAACGAAAAACAATTAATAACAAAATTCGTATATATTTTACTAGAAATAGGGCGAAAATTAAAACAGGCAAAACCATTGCTGCTATTATATTGGAAATTTAGATACTGTTTAACAATTTATATTTATTATCATTTTAAAAAAGGCTTTAAAATTTATTTAAATAAAGTAATAATATTAATTCAAGTTTAACTATGTCAACATAACTTAAAGACATAAATAATCTCAGAGTAAAGTTACTAATGATTCATTTATTTACCTTTTTGTTCAGAAAAAGGTCCAAAAATGTATTTAAATGAAGTCAAAATAATTTAACAGTTCATTACAGACTGTTGAATTTTATTTTAATTACTATCAGAATTTGATATCTTGATTATTCTTGAGATTTTCCCCAAAAAAATAGGGGCCCAGGCGGAAAAGTCGGACGAATGTCGGAATTTACAACCGGCTGGGATCCGCGCCCGTACAGACCGCAAGTACCGACGGTCTGTACCGATTCGGATCTGAAAAAGCAACCGGCGCGGTACAGATTATGCTCCGACTGTCGGAACCGTCTTCCCACTATTGTCAGTACTGGCTCGGTACTGGATTTCTTCCGCCGGCGGATCTTATTCTTCTGCGGCGTCGGAAGAATGACGGATATGTTGAGTCTGTACTGGCTCGGTACTGGGGCGGATCCGACTGCGGATCTCGTCATTTATTGTCACATTATAAATTAAATAATTATTACAAGTAATTGCATTATTTTAGAAAATAATTATTAATAAATTAATCTAATCAATATATTAAGTAATTATTTATTGAGACTTTTTTAAAAATTAAATAATTAAAAAAATTCGTTATTAATTAATATTATATATTATTAATTAATAATATCTCAATAATAATTGAATAATTGTTTTTCAATATAATAATATTGAAGGTAATGATATTAATAATTTTAATTAATATCTCAATAATAATAAATTTATGGTTATTGATATATTATTAATTAATATTAATATTGATAATTTATTATTAATTCTCAATAATATTAGTGTTAATTAATAATATATAAAATTAATTAATAATATCTTAATAATAATAAATTTATTATTATTGAGATATTAATTAAAATTATTAATATTATTACGTTCAATATTATTATATTGAAAAACAATTATTCAATATATGTATTATATAATAATAAAAATATAACAAGTTTCTTTTTTAACGAAATATTGAAATAGTCCTAAATATACATTCAATAAAGTATTAAAAATATAGCGGTATCATTGACGCGTAGTAATTCTACAAGTTTTTTTTCAGCTTGTGACACTTGAGAGTATTTAAGATTTGAGAGTCCCATGCGAGCGTAGCATAGTGGTTAGCGTGCGAGATTTCGGTGCGTAAATATTCGGTTAGGCGTAGGTTCGTACCTCCAAGCGTTAGGATTTTTTAAATGTGTATGTAATAAAAAATTGCGTTTAAGTGTATAAAAAAATAAAAAAAATGTGTAAAGTGAACTGTCAATGAATTGTCATTAGTATTTATCTTTTGCAATTAATTATTATTTTTTTATTGATATTTGTTAAAATTATCATTTGGATCCGATCCGGTTGTCAGTCGGTAGAATGCCAGCGCTCGGCTGGCTATTAAATGAAAAATCCACGGTCGGTAGAGTGCCAGGTCCCAGCCGGTTGAATTATACACGGAACGGCTTCTCCCGGCCGGTCAACGGGCGGTAGAATGCCAGTTCCGAGCCGGTTGCCAGCGCGCTCCTGGCCTAGTCACTATTCGGTAGAATGCCCGTTCACATTCGGTTGG